ACTCTGACTCCGGGTCTGGCCTCCGGGGCTGCATTCTGGCTCTGGGTCTGGCCTCCGGGGCTGCCCTCTGACTCGGGGTCTGGCCTCCAGGGCTGCCCTCTGGCTCGGGCTCTGGCCTCCAGATCTGGCCTGTGGGGTTGCCCTCAGATTTGGGGTCTGGCCTGTGGGGTTGCCCTCAGGTTCGGGGTCTGGCCTGTGGGGTTGCCCTCAGGTTCGGGGTCTGGCCTCCGGGGCTGCCCCCTGCCTCGGGGTCTAGCCTCCAGGTCTGGCCTCCGGGGCTGCCCTCAGGTTTGGGGTCTGCCTCGGGGGCTGCCCTCTGGCTCCGGGTCTGGCCCCTGGGGCTGCCCTCTGACTCGGGGTCTGCCTCCGGGGCTGCCTTCTGGCTCCGGGTCTGGCCTCTGGGTCTGGCCTCCGGGGCTGCCCTCGGGTTGGCGTCTGGAGATGCCCTGGCCTGGCCTTCACCGTGCCTTTCTCCTGCCACAGCTCCACCTACACAGGAACCTGCTTCGTCCCAGGGGGCGAGGATGGCTGCTCCGGGCCTGCCCCTCTGGCCCCAGGTGAGTGCAGCGTCTCTCCACCCAGGGCGCCTGGTTTCTCTGGCGCATGCACACCTACCAGACAAGGGCCCCTGCCGCGCGGAGTCAGAGTGGAGGGAGTAGAGGCCACGTCTGCCTCGGGCTTTCTCAGACTAGTGCAGCAAGCAAATTAACATCAGAAAGATAGTGGGGGGATGAGTACATGCGTAGAGAGAATCTTCATGGGTATGAATTCTAAACCCAGGGGGCAAAATGGGGGTCTGGGATGTTAGGGAGAGCGAAGCGGCTCTGGTGACAAAGGCAGATGTCTGTGATTAGGCGTTTGCCCTGCCACACCGCTCTCCCCCAGGAAGGCTGTGTCTGGGAAGAACCCTAATCCTGGCACTTGCCCTAATTTTTATTCTTTTCACATATTGAAAGCCACGTTTAATAAGAAAAAGAGGCACTTGCACAGTCACAGGTGGGCAGGAGCCCTGCCCCGTTTTCATTCTCCTGGGGGGGCCAAGGGGGTGATGGAGCACCTGTGAGGGGCCCCGAAGCACCCACATGCGAGCACCACCTGTCTTGGGAAGGCCTGTGGTAAACATATTGGGGGGACAGTGGGAAACAAGGGATCCCCACAAGTACCTCCCCAGTGCAAGGACAGTGTCCACCCCGCCACGCCAGATAGCAAGCTGCCTTTCTGGGGTGACATCTGTGTGGCCTGAAGCTCCTGTACCCTCACCCCACCCTGCGTCGGGGAAGGGGGGCCCAGGAAGACACGTGAGCTGCAGTGACCACACCAGCCGGCCTGGCTTACCGCTTCCTCGGGTTGGGCTGCCAGCTTCAGGTCTCCGAGGGGTGGCAGCCACCACCCGGCAGAACCGGCCGCGCCCTTGCTGGCCAGACAGCTGCCCGCCGGGCTCCCGAGGTCGGCACGGCCGCCGCCCGCCTTCCTTCGTGGAAACTGAGCCCTTACTGCGTTTCGGGGTGTCGGAGCAAGGCCGCGGAACCCCTTCGTGGCTCGTGTGAGCCTCATACTGGGCTCAGTCAGAGCAGCAACGAGGGGAGCAGTCTGCTCACCAGGCTTGGGGCGCGGGTGTTGGCCACGATGAGGGCCAGTGTTCCCCTAATTTGGGAGCCCCACGGGAGAGGGAGCCCAGCTCCCCGGGGAAGGGCAGAGGATGGCAGTTGGGAGCACGGGCCAGGTGGAAACCCGCAGCGTGTCCGAGGAGCGGCGGCCAGGCAGTCCTGTGGGGGAGGCGGGGCAGGGGCAGGTGCTTGGAGAAAGCGCTGCAGGTGGGGGCGGGCGGGGCGGAGCCGCAGGGCGGAGCCGGCAGCGGAGGTGCCCGCTACCTGTAGTTTCAAGCAGGGTCGCCACGTTTTCCTTGGCCCTGGGGATGTGGGGGTTTGGCCCGTTCTGGGGGTGAGAGCCAGTGCCAGGAGGGTAGGGAGGGCTCGCTGGCCGCCGGTCACGCGGCTCCAGGGGCGCCGCCTTCATCAGGGGGGGGGGGTTTCCAGCTCCCCGGCCAGCAGGTGGCCGCTGTCGTGACCCGTGCGGACTAATTAGGCTTCGCGACAACCCCGTGAGTGGAAATGGTTCTTGAATTTTGGAACTGGGGGACAGGCCAGAGGTGCGGGGAGTGAGCGGATTCACCAAGACAGAGTGGGGAGCAGAAAAGGAGGATCAGCAGAAAAGGAGGATCAGCCGAAACACTGCTGAGGGGAGCCCCTGGGAGACGGGAGAGGTCGGCTGCAGCCTGTGGGTCACTCCCTGGCCGGGGATCGAACTCAGGCAGCAGTGGCTGTGGCCAGCTTCAGGGAGGGCCTGGAAATGGTTCTTTTTGTTTTAACCAGATGAGGCGGCCACTGGCTGGAAGGGTCAGTTAGACACCACTGCCCACCCCTGTGGGCAGTCCAGCCACCCGTCTACCACAGTTTAGAATAAACGGGGACTCTAGGGGAATGTGTACTCAGAACTGAGCAGCATCCGTTCAAGACGGGGAGCAGATCCCCACGGAGCCTGAGTGCTGGTCATTCTGGCCGTGTCCACAGTGTCCCTCTGATTGGGACACGTGTTTGCAGGAACTAGTAGAATCCGACCTCTGGGTGCCGACAGCGCTGCCCGAAGCCCTGGGCTCCCCACCCCAGCCCCGTCCTGGGAGTATGGGGCAGTGCTCCCTTGAGCGCAGACGTGTGGTGTTTCAGGAGCCGGTGACCTTCAAGGATGTGGCGGTGGACTTCTCCCAGGAGGAGTGGGAGATACTGAGCCCCGCGCAGAGGAAGCTATACAGCGAGGTGATGCTGGAGACCTGCCGGAGCCTGGTCTCCCTGGGTAAGGCCGGCGCCAGGCGCGTCTCTGCCGTCCGTTCTGTCTCGTTTAGCGTCGAGAACTGTGTTAGGAACTGGGCCGCTGGTGAACAAGAGGGCAGAGCCGCCGCGGTCCCCCAGGGCCTCACAGCCTGCTGGTTTCCCGCACTGTGACCTGATTTCTCAGGCGCTGGCCAGAGCTGCTGCCGAGAGGGTATCTCAGCCTAGGTGTGAACCTGGGCCCTGGTTCCTCTTGAGCACCTGGCCAGGGCATTGTTCTCTCTGCCAGGATCAAGAATCATCTTTTTTTTTTTTTAATTAAAAATTTTTTGATAATATAATAGTTTACTTTTACATCATTTTGTGCATTTTTCCATCTCACTTATAATCCCCCTGGGCTTCCCATCACCAAGTCACCCATGTGCCATCACCATAGTCCTGTGCACTCCCCTCCCCACCCCCACCCCACCCCCGTTTTTGATCCCATTCCTCACTCCACCCCCACAAAATGTCTCTGGTATATAGCTAGAACCATCTTTTTTAAAAAATGTTTTAATTTTATTTTGGTAAAATATAACAAAATTAGCATTGTAACCGTTTTTAGCACAGAACTCAGTGGCATTAATTACACTCACAATGTCCTACAATGAGAAGTGCTGTTTCCAGACCTTTTTTCATCATTCCAGTCAAACTCCATCCCCATGAAAACTGACTCCCTCCCCACCTCCAGCCCTGCACCCACCATCTGTTTCTTGTCTGTGTAGACAGGATTCCTTCGAGCTTCCTCCAAGGGGAGTCCTGTGTGGGACTTACTCCACTTACCAGGATGGTTTCAAGGCTCATCCGTGTGGTAGCGGGTGTCAGAATTTCCCTTCTTTCTAAGACACAGTAGTTTGCTGTGTGGATGGACAACATTGTGTTGATCCATTGATCTTTTGATCAACATTTGGGTTGTTTCCATCTTTTTTTTTTTTTTTTTTAAGATTTATTTATTTATACATACAGAATTGGGGTACAGGCCAGAGGTGCAGGGGTGGTGAGAGGATTCACCAGAGACAGTGGGGAGCAGAACAGGCTGACTAGCGAAGTACACTGCTGAGGGGAGCAGCGGGCGGGTCAGGAGAGGTCTGCCACGCCATGTGGGTCACCTCTGGGGCGGCGATCGGACACATGTTGAAGTGGCTTTAGCTTCTTAGTGCTGCGCTTTAACCCGCTGCGCCACCAAGGAGGGGCCCTCCACCTTTTTTTAAAGATTTATTTATGCATGCATCCAAGAGCTGGGGTACAGGGCAGAGATGCTGGGGGGTAAGAGGAGTCTCCAGAGACAGAGTGGGGAGCAGAACAGGCAGATCCATTGAAACACACTGCCAAGGGCAGCGCCTGCTGCGCCATGTGGGTCGCTCCCTGCTGGGTGAGTCGCTCCCTGATGGGTGATCCAAGTCGTGCTGCAGTGGCTGGGGTGGCTTTAAAGTGCTGGGACAGCCCCTGCACCAGGGAGGGCCCTCTTTGATTATAGCCATCTTAGCAGATATGACCTACATGTACCTCACTGTGGTCTTGCCTTGCATTTCCCTAATGATTAGTGATGTTAATTAAGCATCTTTTTGTGGATCTATTGGCCATTTATACATCTTTGGGGACATGGAGGATCCAGCTTTTTAGTTGGGGAAATAAAATGTTTGGCTTGGTCAGGATGCTCACTCTCCAGTGTGCTCTTGTCTCTCTCAGAAACCTTGAAGAACCAGAGCATGGATGACTGCGTTGGGGATGACGTGTTTTCGCTGGCACAAACCTCTGATGCCACCAGTCTTTCCTCAGGGAGCGGGTATTCGCTCTTTCAACCAGTGGTATCTTTTCATTTGGAGGAAGGAGAAACCACATGGATGGAGGAAAATGGAGTTCCCCAAGCTTCTTGTTCAGGTGAGAACCAGGCAGATACTGCCTGGATGGGGACAGCATCTTGGGAGCTTGGTGAGAGGAGTCTTCCATAAAGACCCTAATTGCATGGGGAGAAGGGAAAAGTCTTTGGCTAAGCGTTCTCAGGTGCCTTCATTTCTCCCACCAACAATTTTCTCTCCCCATATCCTACCTTCTCTCTCTCTTTAATGCAAAGAACATTCCATTTCCTTCTTGAAGTAGTCTACTTGTTGAAATTACATCTCTTCCGTTTCTGCAGTCTGATGATTCTCTGTCATTCTTTCCTCCCCTCTTTTCCATCATTGTCCAACTTCTTTTTACGATTTACTCATTTTTGCATACAAGAACTGGGGTACAGGCCAGAGGTGTGGTGGGGGCGAGAAGATTCACCAGAGACCGTGGGGAGCAGAACAGGTGGACTGACTGACATACAGTGCTAAGGGGAGCAGTGGGGAGACAGGAGAGGTCTGCACCCTGTGGGTCCCCTCCCTAGCCAAGGATTGAATTCTTGCTGTAGTGGCTGACAGCTTCACAGTGCTGCACTTTAACTCCTTGCACCACCAGGGAGGCCTCATTGTCCAACTTCTTACACTGCCTGCTGCCCTTGGCCCTCTGCCTATCTTTCCCCCATATTGAAAGCTGATACTTGAACATGAATCCACAGGTAGTTTGTGTATGTTGGAAGTACTTTGTCCCACCATTCTTAAGCTGTTCTCTCTCACCCCTCACCACCCCAATTTATTGCAGATTGGGAGACTAAACTGAAAGATCAAGACCAAGACCAAGACCAAGACCAAGACCAAGACCAAGACCAAGAGTCAATGTACAAGACGGTGGTTATTGAGGAAGAACCAGCCGCTGATGCACCTGCTGCAGAGCTCCTGGAGGAAGACTGGGAGTGTGAACTGGAGAGCCATCATGAAGCCCGCCTGGTGCGAACAGCATTCATCCAAGTAGAGGCATTTGCTCAGGAGGATATTACTGAGTGGAATGATTTTGGGGAAAGCTGTAGCCAGAGCTCAGATGTTTTATCACAGGAAGATTCTGGAGGAAACAACTTTCATGACTGTGATCTAGCTATCGAGTATTTGGTAGCAGATTCTTTCTTAAATCATCATCCAATGGGCTATACAGACCAGGGACCCTGTGTAAATAACAAATATGGAAAAGACATCAGCCAAAACAGCTACCTAACTCAACACAAAATAACTCAGACGCCTGCCTACCCAGAAAGCGGGAAATCATATAATCATGGTATGGCTCTTTCTATCTACAACAAAATCAATACAGGACAGAAACCGTATGAATGTAACCGCTGTGGAAGAACCTTTAACCGGAGGCATTCCCTCAGTGAGCATCAGAGAATCCACACAGGAGAGAAACCCTTTGAGTGTCAGGAATGCGGGAGGCCCTTTACACACAACTCCACACTGACTCGGCACTTGAGGACTCATACCGGAGAGAAGCCCCACGCATGCAGCGAATGTGGGAAGGCCTTCAACAGGATCTCCTCCCTCACCCAGCACCAGAGAATCCACACAGGGGAAAAGCCCTATCAGTGCAAAGATTGTGGAAAATCTTTCTGCCAGAATTCCTACCTGATTTTACACAAGAGAACGCATACCGGTGAGAAGCCCTACAGATGTAATGTATGTGGAAAGGCCTTCAGTGACCGCTCCTCTCTTAACCACCACCAGCGAACTCACACTGGCGAGAGCCCCTATGGGTGTAATCAGTGTGGGAGAGCCTTCAGCCGAAGGTCGTCCCTTGTCCGCCACGCGAGAACTCACACTGGTGAGAAGCCTTACACCTGCAGTGAGTGTGGAAAAGCCTTCAGCCAGAGCTCTTCCCTTATCTCTCATCAGAAAACTCACGCGAGCCGACAAACCTTTAAAATAATTGAATGTGGCCCGGCTTTCTACGAGAACCACTGCCTTATTGAATTTTAGACATGGCTTGCTGCCCTGGACTTTTTAATATTCTACCACACAAGCATGTTTAGACTTTGCCCTTCTGATGTGCTCATTGAAAAATACTAAGTTTATGTCTTCAAGGGAAGCACTGAGGCCTGGACCGGCAAAGGGACATTTTAACAGGAAATTGCCGAAGAGCTATGCCCAGTGAGCTCTGTCCTCCTGGAAGAGATGGGGGGGACGTATTAAGAATGATCACGTTAGTTGTTGAAACGAAACGTTTCCTATTTCAACTGTTACTTTTTTTAATAGCCTGTTTTAATATTTTACTTTGTCATTGCACACCTGTTGGACCTCAAGAGGTCCTGACTGTGACACTACTCTGGAAGGCAGCACATCTGTGACCAGACAGTGCTTTGGACCTACACCAGAAACCGAGTGCAAAATCGTCTGTGTGATTCCGTCCAGTGACGTGAACCTTATACATAAACAGACCAAGGGCAGGCCGAGATGTGCGACAAGGAACAGTTAGTTTCTCTGTCACGGCTGTCTGGCTAGGTGTGACTTTCTGCCTTTCATCATTTCATTTGGCATGCTATAATCATGTGGACAATAAGTGAAAATCAAGCAATTCCAAGAGATTTGTTTCTGTGGTTGGTCGGTCAAGGAGAAGTGTGGATACCAAGCTGGCAAGAGGCAGCACGGTATTTTGACGCGGAAAAATGGAGTGGCCGTGGGTGTTCTGGAAAAGTCCCAACTGCGAGATAGACTTGCCAGAGTTGCAACCAGGAGCACCGATAAACATCATCATTGCCGTTAACGTTTGTTGGGTGCTCGCAGTATTTATGGGACCACTAGCGTTTGTATATATTTCCTCATTTAACCTTACAACCCCATGAGATCGTAGTTCTTCATATTCCCATCTTAGAGAACGGGAAACAGAAATAAACTTTGCTAAAGTCAAACGATTAGACGGAATCTGGATTTGAACCTGAGCGACTTATATAAGGTCAGTGCTGCAAGGAGGAATATAGGCAGTATATGTGTTCCAGATTCTTCTTAAAAATCATCTCACTTTGATGTGAATCATCCTCTTCCCTGAAGCTAATGGAGGAGTTTGCTTGTCAGATCTCTAACCTAAAATGGACCTGATTACAGGACTATTGTTATCTTCCCATAAGGTCTGTGTAGACCCCCCTGGGTTGATGGATTAGTTTATTTAGGAGCTCTGTGAACAACCTAAACCTGGACACAAAAATGTGTGTTGGTGCATAAATGTACTTTCTGAGGACAGCATCTATAGGTTTTACATATTCCTGGAAACGCTTATTTCCTTAGGGTGTAGTGAGAACACTATTTTCCGTCTTGGTCTCGCCTTCCCTTCAACATTTATTGAAAATAGGAGTCTTTGTTGTGCTAGGAGACTGTGTATAAAATAGTGGAGGTATCTGCCTTCTAGAGACAACCCCAGTGGTGAAGATGCAGCTTCATGGGCTTGTGACCTATGCAGGCACCCAAGGCTCCTCTCTCAGAAGATCCTGTGATTGGTTCAGTACTCTACTATTACCATTTAGAAAATGTGGATAAATAAAGAATGCCAAGAGGGCCTTCCAGGTGGTGCAACAGGTTCAAGCGCAGCAATGTAAAGCTGGCCGCAGCTGCTTCAGTTGGAGTTTGACCCCTGGCCCCGGAGGTGACCCACATGGCGCAGACCTCTCCTGTCCCACCTGCTGCTTCCCGCAACAGTGTACGTCATCAATCTGCCTGCTCTGCTCCCCACTCTGTCTCTGATGAATCCTCTCACCGCCCCTGCATCTCTGGCCTGTACCCCAGTTCTGTATGCATAAATAAAATAAAAGTTAACAAAAAAAGGCCAAGTCTCCCTCCCCAAAATCATGGTATTTGGAAGCCTGCCTTAAGGCTGTGTCCTGGTATGGACTTGGAGTCCTACTGTCTGCTTTCCATATGTGTTCAGAGATAAATCCTGTGAGCATTACCCCTATATAACACGTCATGTCACTTAGTAAGGTGAAAAATGAGGCTGGATTCATCACAAAAGCTTATTGCCACTGACAGCAGGGTAACAACTGGCAATTTGAAGGAAAAGAAGCATGAGTCAATACATAAAAATGTCAGATGTTAATGCATGTCTTAGCAGTAAGGAGAACATTCTCTAAATAGTTTTTGTGAAGTGTATGAGACCCTGCAAACCATAAAAAACGAACTGTAAAAATGTGTAAAATACAAACAAAAAAGGTGTTAGTCTGAATGTCAAACGAGAATGTTTTCTGAAAAGGGCAGGCATATTAAATGCATTAAGTGTTTAGCATATCTACTACATGTATTATTTTTCAGTTCACAAATTTATGAAGGGTTTTTGGTTATATTTGTTAAAATAGGAGTTCGATTGCCTTAAGGACAGTATAGCTTTTTTAAAAAGTATGGTGTTAAATGTGCCATCTTAACTACTGTAAGTGCACACAGTTCAATGATTTTAGATACACTCATGTCACTGCACTAAGGATTGTCCGAAGCCTGCTCTTACACGAATTTCCTTGCAGTGTGAAATGCACACCTGAAATTCTAGCATCTCATTCTTAGAGGGGTCTGGTGAGCAGACTGGGTGAGGATTCAGGGTCTCGAGGAGGCCAAGGGACATGTCAGGGGGTGCTGGTACTGACCTCAAGCCCCAGAGGTGGGGGCAGGGACGGCTGGCAGCGCCTCCGAGGTCAAAGGACAGTAGCCCTGTGCTTGCGCGCGGTGCCACACTGAATTTCTCCGTTTCCAAAGGGCCCAGAGCCACGGGGACCACCACTAGCGCCAACCACTGCCCCGGGAGGTGACCACACGCTTCAGGCTTGTCCCGACCTCGCTGGCTGCCTGTAGCTGGTCTCAACAGGGCGAGCTCCGGGAAAACAGTCTGGACTTCCCTGCCTATGAGCAGGATGCAGTAGGGCCGCCCAGCTTCGACAAACTCCTGGCGTGATGGGTTGATCAGCTCCTAGCCCTCGTCTCAGGCCGCTGGGTCTGGGCAAAGAGCCAGGCACAGAAGGGCTGAGAACCCGCACTTCCGCCCGGACCTGCCACGTGACCATGGTCCGCTTATCAGTCAGGCTAGCAGAGCTGCTGGGCGAACTGCCCAATCAGGGAAGCAGAACGCTAGCACCCCGTCCAATCAGAGGCTGGGATACTGTCCAATCAAGCGTCTTGGGGGGTGGGTCTAGGAGCTCCGGCCAATCAGGTCCGGGAATGGGCGGTGGCGGCAGTGGTGTTGGTCGCGCGCGGGCGGGGTTCGGCGCTCACGTTCCCCGCGCTGCGCGGCACTAGGTGTCCATCCCGGTGGCTCTCACCTGCCGGGGCCAGGAGGCTGCGGGAGGACGCACCGCAAAGCCAGGAGTGAGGCCAGAGATGGTGAGTTCCCTGGTCTGGGGCCCGTGCGGGAGAGGCTAGTTCAAAACTGCTGGAACTGGTTGGATGCTCTGGGCAGCCAGCGTCTCCCCGCTCCTCCAGCGGTCCGAGGGGCCCGGCCTCTGGCCCAGCCCGACTGCGTGCTCGCCTTCAGAGCTGCCTGTGGGGACCCCGATCCGCACAGCTGCCAGCCGCCCTGGGGTGTCGGAATATCAGTGCTGGCTGCTTGGGGGGCTTTGGGAGGACTGCCTGCGGGTTGGGCCCTTGTTGGGGAGGGCTGTGCTGTAGGGCCGCGGTGGGACCCTGATCCCCGCGTCCTGGAGGGACGTTGTCGGGTGATGGACGCTGGTATTGAGCGGAAAAGACAGACGTGTCTCCTGGCCCCCAGGTTTGTCACAGCTGAAGAGAGAAACTCACCCAAAGAAGGCCCACTAAGTGCACGCACTGTGGCAACCTGCAGAGCAGATTGGGGACAGAGCAGGACAAGTGACCTTTGTTTTTTAAAGATTTGTTTATGCATACAAGAGCTGGGTGCAGGTCACAGGTGCAGGGGTGTGAGAGGACTCACCAGAGACAGAGCAGGGAGCAGAACAGGTAGATCCACTGAAATACACTGCTGAGGGGAGCAGCAAGGAGACAGGAGAGGTCTGCTGTGCCATGTGTGGGCTGGTGATAGCTTGATAGCACTGAGACTTTAACCTCTGCGCTAGCAGGAACGCCCTTACCAGGTTTATGTTTGACTGAGGCCAACACTAATTGTGCCTGTATAGATTTGCCTGTTTCATAGAAATGGAGTTATACCACATGTGGCCTTTCGTGTCTGGCTTTTTTGGGTTACTGAGTATTATCTTTTCAAAATTCATCTGATAGACATTTGGTTTGTTTCTATTTGAGGGCTGTTATGAGAAATGCTCTAAACATTTTTTTTAAGATTTATTTATACATGCAGAACTGGGGTACAGGCCAAAGGTGCAGGGGCAGTGAGAGGACTCACCAGAGACAGAGTGGGGAGCAGAACAGGCAGATGGACAAAGTACACTGCTGAGGGGAGCAGCAGGCAAGGCAGGAGAGGTCTGCTGCACCATGTGGTCACCTCCAGGGCCAGGGATCAAATTCACACTGAAGTGGCTGCTGCTGGCTTGCAGTTCTGCATCCTGACCCGCTGCACCACCAGGGAGGGCCATGCTATGAACACAAGTTTTTGCAAGCCTGACTTTTCATTTCTGTTGGTAGAAACCTAGGAGTGGAATTGCTGGGTCACATGGTAATAATGTTTAACCTCGTAAACTGCCAAACTCTTTTCCAAAGCAACGGCACCATTTTCCATTCCCGCCAACAGTGTTCAAGGGTTCAGATTACTCCAAGCCCTTGTTAACTCGTGTTATTGTGTCTTTTTTGCTATATCCGTTATCATGCAGCAATAAGAAACCAACACAGTGTAGTGACTTAGTGACAATTAAACAACACAGGTCTGTTATCTTACAGCTCTGGAGGTCAGAAGTCCAAAATGGGCCTCATGAATGAATATGAATGGGTGGAAAGACTGCATTCTCTATGGAAGAAGGTTCTAGGTAAGATCCGTTTCCTTGCCTTTTCCAGTTCCAGCAGTCTCTGCTCATTGGGTGCTAACTTGTATAGGGTCTGTGGCTTCTGGCTATGTGCCAGCCTGTAATTCTCTCTGGCATGCACATAGGGCCCATTTTTAATTTCTTTCTTAGTACTTTGTATTCATATTCAAGACAACCCATTGCCATTGCCTTGCTTCTGGTGGAGTCCCTTGGCCCTTGGCCTCCTTGCACTGCTTCACTCCAGTTTCTGCCTGCCATCAAGTGGTGTTCCCCACTTATCTCTGTCCTGACACAGCATTATCCTCTCCTTAAAAGGATGCAATTCAAGCCCTCCCTGGTGGTGCAAGGGGTTAAAGCACAGCACTGTGAACCTATACACAGTTACTGCAGCACGAGTTTGATCCCTGCCAGGGAGATGACCCACATGGTACAGCAGACCTCCCCTGCAGGACATGCCCACCGCTCCCCTCAGAAGTATATTTCAGTAGATCTGCCTGTTCTGCTCCCCACTTTGTTTCTGGTGAATCCTGTTATCCCTGCACCTCTGGCCTGTACCCCAGTTCTTGTAAGCATAAATAAATAAATCTAAAAAAAAGAGGGAAGCAGAAATTGGAATGATGTGACCCCAACCCAAGGAACAACGAGCCTGGTATCCACCAGATGCTTGTAAAAGGAATCAACCCCAGTGACCCCTGATTTCTCAGTTCTAGCCCACAGAACTGCAGGGGAATACAATTCTATTTAATTCGCCAACTTTGTGAACAACTGTTACAGCAGCCCTGGCAAAATAATACTCAGAGAATATTTATCTCCCAAATGTTTTTCTTAGAAAGAACTGGAAATTATGTGATAAGAGGCTCCTTGGAGAATAAGGCACTGATAAAACCCACACTGTATCTAAGCCCGTTATAGAGATTTTCTAGTATGCAGTTTACTGGGCATGATGAGTGAGGGGGTCTTCATGAAGTCTTTCCCAAGTCACTTAGTGACACAGATTTCCCTCCTGTGTGAATTAGCATGTTATTTTAGGAATAGGGGAGCACAGCAGTCTTCCCTTTAGCACACTGCTCCCACTTAGTTTCTCCCCAGTGTGACTTCTTACATGTCTTTGTAAGGATGAGAGTCTGCCAAAGGCTTTACCACATTTCTGACATTCATTGGGTTTCTCTCTGCTGTGAGTTCTTAAATGTCCTTGAAGAGATGACGACCAACTGAAAGCTTCCCCACATTGCTTATGCAGATAGGGTTTCTCTCCAGTGTGAATTCGCACATGTGTTCTAAAGTGTTGATGGTTTTAATAATTAATACTATTACATTTTTACCACTTTTAGCAAATGTGTACGTTTTCTGTGCTCTCAGAGTTGTTTTAAAGTATAAGCTAAATGCTCTGCTCTAAGAACTACTGGAGGCTTTCCCACATTTGTAACACACATATGGCTTCTTGCCAGTGTGAGTACGCAAATGGCCTTCAAAGGATGAAGGAGAACTAAAGGATTTCCACACAGTTTACACTCATAAGGCTTTTCTCCAGCGTGTCCTTCTGTGACTCCTAAGATTTGAAGGCCAACTGTAGGCTTTCCCACACTGCACACACTTATATGCTTTCTCTCCAGTGTTTGCATGTATGATCAGGTAAAAAGAGTGAATGGTTTCCCACATTCTTTACGTTCATAGGCTTTCTCTGCACTGAACTTTTACATGTTTCCTAAAAGAAGAAGAGGAGGATTTCTCACATTCTTTCCAAGCCTAGGGTTTCCCAATATTGGAGTTTCTCAAAGGTTTGAGGGACAGCTGGAAGGTTTTGACACTTCACACTCATATGGCTTCTCTCCAGTATGAGCTCTTATATGAACTTGAAGTTTGGAGTATATAAAGGCTTTTCCACATTCCTTACATGCATAGGGCTTCTCTTCAGTGTGAGCTCTTACATGTGCCCTGAAGTATGAATGACAAATGAAAATCCTTCCACATTCTTTACATTGATATGGTTTTTTCCATGTTGAGGTGATGCTATGGGATTCTTTAGGGATAAAGTATCCATAATGACTTTTTCAAACTTACTATATTCATAGGATTTTATTTCAGTAGAAAGTCTCTTATTCACAATAATGTTTGAAATCTGGTTGGTTTCTTCATAGCGATTTCTGTCATTATTTTCCGAGGGCATCTTGATCATATGGCATCTGTTAAAAACAAGAATCATGTTACCACTCACTGATGACAGATGACTCACTAATGGTTTTTAATAACTAATACTATTACATTTTTACCAATTTTAGCAAATGTGTATGTTTTCTGTGCTGTCAGAATTGTTTTAAAGTGATATAAGCTAAATGTTCTAAGAGAGAATTCAACCACAAGTATTTTCAGTGATTTAATACTTGGGATTTCTTTCTTCATCATTTTTTATGACTTGAAATCTCAAACAGTCGATTTCTATATCACTTTTATGAAACTGTCTTGTGAAGGTTTTCTCAGTCAATATTTATATTTTAGATTTTTATTTATGCATACAAGAGCTGGGGTGCAGAGCAGAGGTGTGGGGAGGAGGTGAGAGGATTTACCAGAGACAGAGTGGAGAGCAGAACAGGCAGATCTACTGAGGTGCACTGCTGAGGGGAGCATCAGATGAGACAGGAGAAGTCTACTGTGCCATGTGGGTCACCTCCCTGGCTGGGGATTGAACTTGTGCTATGGCTGCTACCAGTAGCTTGACAGATATGACCTAACCCCTTGTGCCACCAGGGAGGCCCTCTCTCAATATTTAATACCTGACTTATACCTACAAATATGCATACACACATTTACATGTTCACTATACCCTCACCATGTCTCACGAGCCACCGCTTTCTCCCATCTATATGCCACTCACCACAGATGTGTCCCTTGGTTCCTGAGCTGATTTTCAGTGCTGTGGCATTTCCAGTTTTCTCCTCAAATGAAACACCAGCAGTCATTTTTCCACATCCTATATGTTCTACTCACTTGGTATTTCTCTCCCAAACATACTATAGAGAATTTGCCCCTCTGAGTTAAGTAGTGTTATAATATGAAAAGCAGTAACAAAATATGCTTTTACAAAAAGAACTGGCAAGACATAAGCAAGAATAGAAGTAGGGAACATGTACATTTCTTTTCAAAAAGCAATTAAAAAGTAAACAAATTTGAAAATAGTGCACAATGTACTAGAAATATTTCCAAGATGATTGAGACTTATGGTGACATAAGTGCCTATTACTGGGAAAGCAACATGAGGAAGAATTGGACAAAATGCAGATGCCCAAATGCTAATTTTATAAGACGAAATAGGTCTTTCAGTGCATTTGTGAAGATGAATGAAGTTAAAAAAAGTAAGCTAAGTATCTGACAATATTTGGTTTCCTTAGAAGATGAAGTTATATTTCTTTTTTTTTTTTTAAAGATTTACTTATTTATGCATACAAGAACCGAGTATAGGCCAGAGGTGTAGTAGGTGGTGGGAGGATTCACCAGAGACAGTGTGGGGAGCAGAGTAGGCAGATTGAAATACACTGCCGAGGGGAGCAGCAGGTGGGTCAGTAGAGGTCTGCCACGCCCTGCATATGTTGTATATCACTACCTACCAGATCAGAGATCCAGACACAAGCACTGAGACATGACTGACAGTTACTTTGCTAGAGTATATTATAGACCTTTAAATCATCTTTTTTCTAGAATTATAAGAATTTACTCCACTCCTGAGAACTAAAATCTCCATGCTATGATATTACACCATATTTTATTACATCATATTTTATAGTCAGGTCAGCTAAATAAGCTGTTGTGTACACACTCAGGGGCTGAAGTCACCAAGCAGGTGGACTAAAGCTCAGGGGCTTGATGGGTAACAGCCTGCAGCTCTTGTCTCTGGTTTCCAGCCATGTCAAGTAGCTAGCGAAACCAAACACTAATGTTTTCCTGACTTGCAAACACGACTTTCACAACCCCTTCCATCACAGATCAGATTCTGTGGTCACAATCTAGACATTTGGGTTTCCCAGCCAAACCCAACATGTCCTATGCCAGACCTCTCATTATAGGCTGTCATGGTTGCTCAGGATGCTCTCCTCGAGATCTTCCTATGATCATACACCATCCCATTTGTATACTAAACACTCATTCTCTGAATAATGTGATAAGACCTGGTATCCTGATTCCAGCATGACAGCTATGTTGGTGCTGTACAATACATCAGACTTGGTTTCTCTACTGCAGTGAACTGGCTGCATAGTTCTGTCCTCCCAGGTGAGAAACAAGCAACCTCTTCATATAGCAGAGTTGGTATGTGTTTTCTGCTGTTTGCCAGTGAATACAGTCCTGGAACAGGTGTTCAATTACTCCGTATACGTGTGACTAAAAACATACATGATGTAGATGCATATTTCCCAAATATCTGAGTTTCCAAATCAGTTCTATATTAACAAATATTACTCCCTCCACATTTTTTTTTTAAGATTTATTTATTTATGCATACAAAATGGGGTCCAGAACAGGCAGACTGGTGTAATACACTGCTGAGGGGAGCAGCTGGGAGACAGGAGAGGTCTGCCACGCCATGTGGGTCACCTTCCTGACTGGGGATCAAATTCGTGCTGAAGTGGCTGCAGCCAGCTTCATAGTGCTGTGATTTAACCCGTTGTGCCGCCAGGGAGGGCCCGCTTCTGCCACTTTTCATTGAGGGCTTTCCATTTATGGGTTTTCAAATCAGCCTAATAATTTCTCTATGTAAAAGATAGTTACTCAATACCCTTATGCATTCTTAGTCAACACTACCAGGTGTGATCAAGTTTAGAGATTTTTTTTTTAGGCACATTTTTTATCCTGAAAATTTTTTTCACACTTAACTGAAAGTTGTTGACATTAAGATCATTTGTAATGCATTGGTATATATTAATAAATACAACAGTGATTTTGCCATTGCTCTCTAACCAAAGGCTGCAGGACAACATGGAGTATATTAATAAAGAGAACTGAGGATGAACAGACCTCATACAAGACCTCATACATGACATTAGGGCTTATTTGATACATGTTAAAGGAACATATTGTATTTTGATTTTTGTTAGATGACGTGAGTGTTTGAGGAAGCAGACCTTTATTCTTGATTACAGGCTGTCAGGAAGGAAACATATCTTATGATTAGCTATCTGAGTAGTTGTTGTCTAGAATGCAGAAAACATGGAATGTAGCTGAAACTCATTGATAAAGAGGTACTAGTCACATTAGCAGTAAGTGGGAATGTTTGGTCATTTTTATGGTTTGGATTTTACACAGTTCTTAGCTGTTTTATGGCTCTAAAGTGTTCTTTTCTCCTGACCCGTTGCTGTCACGTGACTGCCTAGGGCTGTGACAGAGTTGGATGAAATTTTCTGCTCAGTCTGAATAAAGCACCACGCAGTATGGAGTCCCAGGCCAAATGGAAGCTGTCTAAGGTGCTGGTCATCCTCATTACTCTGTAAACACGAATTTGCTTCTTACCGTGGACTCATATATATTCTTACTATGTTACTAGGCAGGAAACACTGTGTTAGGTTTAGTTAGCTCAGTTAGCTGTGTAAATACAGTTCCTCCAAAACAAACTATGAGGCAGATACATTTCTCCTCGGTTTGAATGAGTTAGCCAAGGCTTATGCATGTAGGTTATTTGCCAGAGGCCCCCATGCTAGGAAGGAACCAGCACAGATCAGGATTCAACTGGAGCTTTTCTGTCTCGAAGTCCATACTCATTATCTGGTGCTAAGTGCTGAGCATTCCTCACACATAGCAGACCCCAGGCTCCAAACAAACCACTAAATTCCACACTGATGCTGGCTGCAGGTACCTACCCACAGTGTATTTCAGCACATCTTCCTGTTATGCTCCCAACTCTGTTTCTGGTGGATCCTCTCTTACTCCCACCCTACCTCTGGCCTACACTCTAGTTCTTGTATGCATAAAAAAATAAGTCTTTAATTTTTTTTTAAATAACAAAGTAATTAAATATGGTAGGTTTGTTACTTAGGTAGCAGTCACTTATAAGAGAATGCTGGCTCAAAAGGACAAATGTATGCATAAGTGTTTAATTCAACCAAGGACATACACAGAAACTAGAAATGCAGGTGAAGCCCAGCCTCTCAACAGTGCAACCAGGGAGTAAATTTCCTGTATTGTGACAGTAGCAGCATCTCAAGGTGGACTCAGGGACAGGAGCAGTATTAGAGGTACCATGTGCTTCCAACAGAAACCATGTAATTAAGAAACTCACTTATCACCCCAGGTCCAAAAGATACTGTAATGAAAACTTAGACAATTTTCATGTAACTGTATAATAATTTAATGTATGACATGACATATGTAGTACAGGTGAAGGGGACATAGAGGGATATTTACTAAGTGCTAATATCAGCAACATGAACTGGAAATGTATATACTGGGAACTCCTATTCAGAATGAGGCACAGAGAGGTATTTATAACAATTTAAAGATGTACATCCTGCTCTTTCATATAGAAAAACAGTGAAACGCTATCCCTGAAGATTTCCTCATATTCTTTCCATTCATATGGTTTCTCTCCAGTGTTTGCTCCCATATACAATAAAACTTTCTGGGAGACAGAAGACTTTCCCACAGTCCTGGTACTCAGAGTTTCTCCCAGCTGTGCATCCTCATATGTTTTCGCAGGTTTGCTGGATATCTGAAGGCTTTCCCACAGTCCTGACACTCATAGGGCCTCACCCCTGTGTGTGTCCTTGCATGTACTCGGAGTGAAGAGTCACAGTTGAAAGTTTTCCCACACTGCTTACATTCATAGGGTCTCTCCCCAGTATGTGTTCGAACATGTACCTGCAGGGATATAGGGTACCTAAAGGCTTTGCCACACTGCTGACATTCATAGGGCTTTTCCTCACTGTGCATTCTCACATGTTTTTGCAAGGATGAGGGCCATGTGAAGGCTTTCCCACATTGCTGACACTCAAAAGGCTTCTCCCCACTGTGTGTCCTCATGTGTCCTTGAAGAGAGGAGGGAGCACTGAAAGCTTTCCCACAGTGTGGACACTCAAAAGGTTTCTCCCCAGTGTGTGTTGCCATGTGTCTTCGAAGGGATGAGGAAAAGCTGTAGGCTTTCCCACACTGCTTACACACATAGCGTTTCTCTCCTGTATGCAGCCTCATGTGCCCTCGCAGGGATGTGCCATACTTGAAGGCTTTGCCACACTGTTTACATTCATAGGGCTTATCTCTACTGTGTGTTCTTTCATGGTCTCGAAGATGAGAGTGGAATCTGAAAGCTTTACCACAGTCCTTACATTCGTAAGGTTTCTGTCCACTGTGCTTTTTCACATGCTCTTGGAAAGATGAGAGGCAACTGAAAGATTTCCCACATTCTTTACATTCATATGGTCTCTCGCCAGAGTGAATTCTCATATGTCGTGTAAGAAAAGAATAATACATGAAGGTTTTCCCACATACTTCACATGGGTGGATGTTTTGTCCATAGTGGCCTCTCACATGGCCCCGAAAGTATGAGAGGCAAGTGAAGGTTTTTCCACATTCCTTACAATTAAAAGATGTTTTACTACTCAGACTTTTCACACATCTCTTAGATGCTCTTCCAGTATCCTGACAGTCCCAGGGTTTCCCGACAAAGTCCGTTTCCATGTGAGTCCTTAGGCATACAACACAGACTTGCCCACATTCGTCACAATGGTAAGATTTCTGTCCACTGTGACATCTTTGGTGATTTGTAAGGGAAGAATAATCCTTGAAGGCTTCTCCACACTCAGTACATTCATAGGGTTTCACTCCAGTAGAATCACTTTCATGCACAAGAAGATTTTTAATTTGGTGTGAGGTTCTTCCACCGTCATCGTTTTCATTAATTACACAATGACTCTCCACTAAGCGAGTTCTGTCCATACTGGGGCTGCTTTGGCATAACATACAAGACAGGAAGCACATGATTAGTGACTGATGATTATCAATGACAATTACCACTGCATTTTTATTTTCACCAAACATATTTTTTTACACGATCTACATTATTATTATAAAGCAAACCAAGCAAAAAAAAAAACAAGCTTAACACTCTGCCTGAGGGCTCACATGTGTGCTGACACACCCAGTGTTTCTTATATATGGGGTTTCCTGGCCATTGTTTCCAACTGAATTATTTCAGATACGCGTAATGTCTACATCATATTTATTAAACTATTGTCTAGTCAAAATTCTCAGAGCACATATTTAGCTAAATTTATACAGGTTCAATCATTTCAATTTAGCCTAACACTCCCCAGATCCTCCCTTCCCCTGTGGGAGAGCCATTTACCTCAAACATCTCTCCTGGGTTTGGTGCTGGACCCTAGAATTAGGAAATATCCACTTTTCATGAAAAAAAGTCCAGAAGTCATTTCTTGTGAATTTTACTCTTTTCTCTCCACTGGATATTTCCTTTTCCAAAATGACACACTGAGGACTTGGTCCACTGGTTTTTACTTGAGTGTAACTCTCTGTAGCAACTAGTAACAGGGATTGATATCCCAGGAAATAGTAGTAGGAGAAAAGAAAGAAAATAAATCATATGTGATTTTCTATAACCATTCAAGAATGTAAACAGATGTGCTGAGAGGCATGGACTTAAGAGCAAAGAACTACTGAGGACTCCAGTCATCTGGGACTTAGGTAATAATAGGGCAATAAAATGGAAGCCTGTTTACCCATAAATTCTTCCAAAACGTAGTGATATGTTGAGATAAGTATTATCAGAGAAGCAAAGTAGAAAGGAACCGGGAAGTATGTGCACACCCAGTGCTGCCTTTGTGAGAGGCTAAGAACCTCTTCCCAACTGGTAGAGGATGGATGAAAAATCCAACAGGGGAGCCAGCTCATGAAGGGCAGCGCCCTTCTCACACAAACGTGGGGTGAGGTTTGTAGTGAAAACACCCGAATACCATTCCTTGCCCCAGAGCCTGTCCCTCTCAATGTTGTTATTCTCCTGGTGTTTGCAGGTGCAGAGGCCCTACAGGAAACCCTTGCTGTTGTCCCGGGGCCTTTACTGGCTGGCTGGCTGGTACTGCTCTGCTCAGCATAAGGGAGGCCTTGAAGACCAGCAGTCATTCCTATCTAAGATAACCCAGTACTTTGGTTTCAAGCCCACTGACCAAGATGCCTCAGTGTGAGCTAAAATGCAACAGGATTCCATGTCAGATGTGCACTCACCAGTGCATAACTTCCCAGGGGTAAGAACCATAAAGCTGTTCTTATGTCACCAGTGACACTGGAAAATATGCTCAGATTTATAAAATAAGGAAGCCTCAGACTTCTGATCAGAAGATAACAGCTCTAACATAGAACTCTCTGGCTCTTGGCAGGTTTCTGAAGACTTGGGCCATAGCTGCCTCTTTCCCAATATAGTCATTTTCTTGGTCCTGACAGGAACTTTTATTGCTAATAACATTTGTGTGTTAAGGACTTAGTGAGGGAGAAGCTACCCTTACCCACGGAGGCCAGGTTCCCACAAGTCTCCAGCATCACCTCTCTGTACAGCTGCCTCTGAGCACTGTCCAGCAGGGCCCACTCCTCCAGGGTGAAGTTCACAGCCACATCCTCAAAAGCCACCAAGTCCTGAAACATCCCGCACAATGATTTTAGCAAGGCACCATCTTCCCCAGTGAGTGTAGGAGGGAAGGGAGGTGGCAGATGGGGAACTGGCCTCAGCTCCTAGGATGCAGGGCTCTGTTCTGTTAGAAATGGTAACAGGCAGCCAGCAAGTACAGTTTGTTCCGGGATGGTGAGTGCTTGGGAAATTGAACAACAGTTGATAGACACTTGCATACAGAATCATAGGAATTATTTTTCTGAGACAGATTCTGAGGCAAGGTAAACACTGAAAAATGAAAGTATTCAGGTAACAAGAGGATACTTGGCCTGAGCAAAGCTTACTACTGTAACAACTGGATACAGAAAGTCCAGAGCTGTGAGCTTAGATTTCTGGAACTGCTTGTCCTGAGCAGCTTTCACCTTGGTAGGCAACAGACAGAGAAGCCTGGCCTGTCCCCTCATATCCAGCAGAGACTGGACCCCTCCCAGGATGAGGAGGATACTGTGGGCAGATTCGGACAGTGCTGGGAGGGGGGGTCTTGCATACCTGTTAGGTAAGGGGATTATCTGGTTACTGAAGAACCTATCAAATATATAACCAAATACCTGATTTCAGGGAAAATGGCAGCACTAGGAATAGTTGCTGAGGGTCTAATGGCCTTAACGTGGCCACAGACACCACTAATTAAATCTTCAGAGCACTGTGAGATGACAGTATGTCCATGAAATTAGGAAAAACATAAAAAAAGAAAAAAACAAAGATGGTTTAAAAATAGGGTCTCAAAAATCTTAAAAAACAGATCCCACTGTATCAGCTACAAGAAGGCAGCGTGACTTCGAGAGAGTTAGGTCCCAGGGACAAGTCAGGAGATGCAGTAGAAAGGTAACCGTATCTCCAAGGATATGTCAGTGAGGGGATTCATAACTGAATAGAGCTACGTGTTACCAAAAACAGAGGAAGACAGAAGGTTGAGAAGGGACCGCGCAAGCAGCCAGCTTTTCTACAGAACAAGGTGGTGGGGTGGTGGGGTTTCCTAACAAGCCTGAAAGCTTTTTAAAGTATGGCTTTTAAACTGAAACTTTTTTAAATGATAGTGATGACAGGGCCTCCCTGGTGGCCTGAGTTTGATCCCCGCCCTAGAGGTGACCCACCTGGCGCCGCAGGCCTCTCCTGACCCGCCCACTGCTCCCCTCAGCAGTGTACTTTGTTAATCTTCCTGTTCTGCTCCCCACTCTGTCTCTGGTGAACCCTCTCACCCCATTCCTCTGGCCTGTACCCCAGTTCTTATACAAGGGGGAAAAAAAAAAAGACCAGTGCGTATGGGAGGTGGAAGGAACCCCCGTCACTTTGTGTTCTGAAAAGTGACAGGCTACAAGAACCCCCGTGTACTCAGACAAGGCTCGCAGATGCCTTTTATTTATCGGGGACCCGGCCGGACACACCCACGTCCCCTTTCTGTGCTCAGCAGTGGTTTAGGAACAACACCAGCTGTCCCCATGAGCGGTCCGAACAAGGCACCTGCACCAAGTCTGGGCGACTTCACTCTGGTCCTCGCACTTGGCCACCTGGGCCTGAGCCAGGCGTCAGCCCCTCCGAGGTCAGGCGCCCAGGGCTCTGCACCCCGCAGCACGCCTTCCTTCCCATCCTCCTCTCCACAGAACTCTCCCAGTCTGGGGAGCCCTGCACACCTTACGCCAGGGTGGCATCCTCCCTTCTAGCAGGCCCTCCCCTCCTGCGGCGCCACAGCCCCGCCCACCCCCTCTTGAAGTAAATTTTCTCCCTACGGAGTCAGAATTTTTCACTGCCACTGGCTTGGCCAGCTGTCCACAACTGCCTTTTTCTTGCCCAAGCTTCACTCAGGCTTCCCCCCAGTGCCCCCCAACGTGCCCCCCCATCTACCCACACTGGAAACGAGGCGCTGCTGACCCAGCAGATACGCTGGACCAGAGCCAGGGCTCTTCCTACCAAACTCCTATACCAGAGAAAAGCTCCCTTCTGTTTGATCCAGACGCTGACCCACGTCTGAAGCCCAGTCCTGGCCTACAGCCGTCTTAGTCTCTACCTAACCAAGCAGGATTTGATTTGATCTCTCAAATGCGAGCACGTTCCCATACAGCACCAGCTACCTGCTCCTACCGTGGCAGCCCCTGTACACAACCACCCTCAGTCACCCCACTCAGCCAAGGACTCTGATCCAGACCCCTTAGGGACGGTGCAAAACCAAGGACACCCTAATCCCACCCTGCTAGGCCCTCACCCCAGGGAGGGAGGCAGACTCCAGTGGAGAACTCACTTCCACCCAGGCCAGTAGGGAGGGGCCCCTCAAAAGGCGATGGGCGTTAAAAGACAGCAGTCCCGAACTGAGTCACCTGTGCTAAGCCCGTGTCACCGAACGGAGACAACACCTAACTTCGTTACAGTTTCAGCCTCTCCCAGGAATGGAATCTGAAACCAGTAAACCTGGAATGACTTGGTCAGCATGTTGGGCAAATCTGCTGAAAGACCCTTTCCTGTTGCTAAGCCAGCGTGACCCTGCACACCAGCCTGGCTTTGCCAGTCTGCGCCTCCTTTTGCCTGCAGGTGTTTCGCCCGCACAGCTCCTGGGAGCTCCTTTCTCTCTGCTACTTGGGGTGCGGCCCAACTTGTGAGACAGAATAAAGGGGAAAAGCTTGGATTTTACTTAATTGAGTTTTGCTTTTAACAGAGGAGGAATGCTGGCACCCCACCCAGCTTCCCAGGAGTCAGGTTGGGACCCCGGAGGCCACCAAGGGAGGACTGGCCGGGAGGAGGGTGAAAAACTGGAGGGGACCCCAAGACCTTCGCGGAGGGGCTGGACAGGTTGAGGGGCCCATCTCAGCATGGAAGGCTGAAAGTCAGGTCGGCTGCAAGGGGGGGGGTGGGGGGGGGGGGGGGTGGAGGGGGACCGAACAAAATAGTCAACGCCAAGTGGCTCCGGCCGGTGTGAACCAGCGGCTCCCTGACTGGCCCAGCACCCCACCTACTCACCATTCCGTCCCGCTGGGCGTGCTCCCGGGGGTCCATCCCACGGCCACGCCCGGGCCAGGTGACAGCGGGGCAGCGGGACTACACCTGGGCCTCAGGCGCGCCCCAGAGCGGGCGGGCGGGTGGGCACGGAAGCGCGGCCACTTGGGCGGGGAGCGGCGCCCGCCGCAGCCCTGATTGGACAGGTGGCCCTGCGCCGCGCAGCGATAGGCTAGTCTACCGGCACTGCCCCCCCAGACCCCAACTGGACTATGTTGGGGGCCGCCCCGGCCCCGGCCGCTGACCACCTGGTTCCTGCCC